TGATATCTGCCTAGACCTAACCTACAACTACTGGGCCTCTAAAAATGCCACTTTTGTCTTCTTCTGCTCGGCCTCCGGTACCTGCACATCTACCCCTTCCAGGTGCGGTACTGGCCTACCCGCTACTTGAGTGTTTTTCCCCGCTGCAACCCCTCAAGCGGGAAACTCAACAGGGCATTCAGTCTATGGGCAAAACTCAGAAATCAGCTGTGTGTTTCAGTCTGTGTATGGACGGGTCATCACACGAATGCCGTCTCCCTGTCTTCTCGCCAACGACTTCTTCACCTCACCTCTCTTCTCCTCAACAGATAAGCATTAAAACTTAGTTAAAAATACGCCCAAAAAAAGAAGAATTATGAGCAAGAATTGATGTCTAATGATTCCACCCTTTCAGCCTTACTCTACACTCTCTCTCCTCCCGCTGCGTATCTAACTTCTTCACCCGAATAGAACGCTGGTCATTATCGCTGCCCCTGGACTCAAAGTTGCCCCAAATATATAGCTATAATGACCAGAAGTTCTATTTGGGTGAAGATGGTAGTTATGGGAGCTACAGATCAATGTGTACCAGAGATGTTTAGAAGTCAATTTCAACTACTACAGTATGTCTCCCATCTCATGCTGTCGGTAGCCCACCAGGGGCCTTCGAGATGCAGTGCGAACCTGGGAAGTGGAATGAAGGTCCAGTGGTCCACCATAGCCAAAGGTAAGTCTCACATGTCGGTTGAACTTGGTCCCCTCCTGCATCCTCTCGCTCAACCTCTGCTCTATCTTCCTCCACCTACTTCCATAGCCTAGCTTGAGCTTCTTCGCCCTCTACGTCCATAGCCCGGTCCTACCCCCTTTCTACCACTATTCTGACGGAGCCATGGACGTCTTCTTCCTCACCCTCAAGCTCCACCACTTCAACTCACCCTCAACCTAGAGGAAGAGAGCAGGACGACTGCCAGCTAAACGACCGGTACTTGGAGGCTTCCTTTTGCCAAATTGGATTCCGCCTTGCGCGCCAAAAAAAAAAGAAACACGAGCCAATGCATTTTCTTTTTTAGCTTGTGCTGCCAGCCATTTTGCTCTGGTAGGACCAGGCACACAGAAAAATGGCTGGGAAAGTACTGGTGATTTAAAGCACCAGTACACCACATATCGGGCCGCGGGTGTCAGCATGAAACCCGCACCACTTCGGAGGCCGCCAATTTTTTTAATCAACGGCGGGCCTGGCCGCACGGCGTCTCCAAGTTTTGTTTGTGGCGACAAAAAACTTTCTGCAAGGCTGGGGCCGTGTACTAGCGGTTTAAGTGCGCTGGCCGACTCATGACACCCAATAATTTCCTGAAAGTTTGAACCATTTCTCAATTTATGGGTGGCATCCTTGCACAGGGGCCATGCTAATCTTCTCTACATCGTTCGAATCTTAAAAAAAAAAAAAAAAAGGTGTCTCGTGGGACAAGTATGGTATCTGTTATGATCAGTTTTTTAACATCTGACACGTGGTCCATCAGACGATATAAAAAAAAAAAAAAAAAAAGGTAACTAGTAACTATGGCCGCGGCAAAAATGAAGTTTTGACTTTCAATCGAAAAAACTCTGTTAATTTCGACTCTGAATGGAAACTCTGTTTTCTTTGCAGTCTTGTCGCGGCCTGAGGGGTTTTATAGCAAAAAACAAACAAACTCAGGCCACGACGCTCGCGTGCGGTTTTGTCAGCATCACGTTGGGCGTGACTGAGGAGTCTCAAGGGTGGCCAAGGCACGAGGGACCCAGGCAGGCCTTTTTCTTCCAACTGTCACCCTGTAGTACCGGGTGAATCTGGCCCAAATCATGTCCAGTTTCAGCCGGTACTACCGGCCAGCCCTCTCTTAGCAACTTTTCCAGGGCCTTCTAGGCCCTGGCCCTCTTCGCTTGCCGCGGAGAAACTTCAGCCATTCAATCTGATGATAGATCGAAAGGCTGACAACTTTTGTGCCGCCCCCCAGTCCTCGACATGGTCTTTGATGAAACTGCGGTTGGCGGCCTGAGTTCACTTTTTGAATTCAAACCACCAGTCCATCTGAAGCTACATTGACGAACGAACACTTGCATTTTTCCAAGCCTAGAATCTACAGCGTCGTCCTTTGGCCCACTTCCCTCAATGAGCCTCCACCGGCCTGGCAGCCGAGCGTGACAAGGTTGCATTACGGAACTCAAAGTACGTCATGGCCATAGTTATTTGAACTTATTTCAGAAAAAAGAGACACACCGAATGTACTGACGACTCCCGGACTCCAGTCCGTCCCTTCATTGCCCGGTACTT